GCCCAGGAGTCCCCCAAAATCGCCCCAAAATGGCCCAAGGGGCCCCCAAGAGGGCCCCAAAACGGCCCAAGAGTATCCCTTATGCCCCTCCGGGGCCTCTCTTGGGCCGTCTTAGGGCTCTGTTGGGCTGTGGAGCCCGCCTGGACCGTCTTGGGGCCCTCGTGGTGGCATCTTGGACCGTTTGGGGGAGGGCTTGAAGGCCTCTTGGGCCGTCCTACATGGTATGCAAACGAACAACGAAAGTGGAAAAATTCACACTGTTGGGGATTACTGTTGCATTTGGGGGGTCCTCTTGGGGGCCTTTTGGAGCATCTGGAGGGCCGCTTTGGCCGTCTTGAGACTATGTTGGGCAATATCTCAACGTCCTTGCGCCGTCATCTTGGGGTCTTCCTGGGACCTGGGCCGTCTTGGAGGTGTCGTCAGCCGTTTGGGGCACTTTCGGGCCTGAGTTGGTCCGTCTGGGGCCGAACATGGCCGAAAATTGAGATGATAAATCTGGGATGGGGTCTGCCACCTGGACTAGAACGGGAACGGAAACAGCGTTTCAGGAACTTGCCCGAGATGGCCCATGGCACCCTTCGCTCTTGGGACCCTCAGCCTTATGAGCTAGTAGCGTCACCGCTTGGGAGACCTATGTTCAGAAACCTGCACGTTGCCGCTCGCTCCTGGGAGCCCTGTGGTTAAGAGTTGTGTGCGTCACCGCGTTCTGGGGGGCCTTGGTGTTCAGAACTCGTTGCGTCACCGCTCGCTGTTGGGAGACATGGCGCTATTTTGGCGCATCCGGGGCTTCTTTGGGGTCCTTTGCGAGGCCCTCTGGGCCGTTTGGGTGCCCTCTTGGGCCGTGGCCTCTGGCCGTCCCGGGGCTCTCTCGGGGGCCTCTTGGGGCCCTCTTGGGGGCCTCTCTGGGCCCTCGTTGGGTTCTCTTGGGGCCGTCTTGGGGACGCATTGGGCCGTTTGGGGGCCCTCTTGGGCCGTGCTGGCGCCCTCTTGGACCGTGTCGGGCCCTTGGAAGGGCATCTTGGGCCGTCTCGGGACGATATTTGGAGCCGCTTGGGCCGTTTGGGAGCCGTTCTTGACCAGAGAAGACGACAGCCCGAAACCAACACTGAAAAACCATCGAAGAATCAACACCTGGTGCCTCTCTGGGCCCTCTCGGGAAGCCTCTTGCACGCTTTGGGGGGCGTGTCGGGGCCGTCTTGGACCATCTTGAGGCCATCTTAGGCCGTCTTGGAAGGGTGTTTTTCCCCCAACACAAGCTGGAATGTAATTTGCCCAACTTTTTCTGGATGGCCGTCTTGCTTCATCAGCCTTTGTTGCAGCAGGGCGGCGATCGCACCACGACTCCAGGTGCACCCAGGTCGCCAAGCCTCTATCGGGCCGGGCGAAAGGGGAGGATAGCAAAGGAGGGGTCTGAGAATCAGCTCACGTAGCTGATTTTCCCGGCGCCTCCCGGCGCCGGGAGGCGCCCATGTATCGAGGAATGGGCCCGGCGGCGGGGCCGAAACCAGCTGCGTGCAGCAGATGTCGTAACCCCCCCTTTCCCTATCCCCCCCTTTCGTTCGGCCCGACTCTACTGCACAACACGCTCCCACTGTCAAGACGCCCGCACACCCTGAGAATCCCATGCCGGTGGCAAGCTCAGCTCGCATCCCTCTGTCTGGCAAAAAAGTCTCAGAAGCACTGGAGGGCCTGCCGGCGTCCGCGAGACGGCACGCTCCCACGCGCACGGGTGGCCTCCTGCCCCAGGCCGAAGAGTCCAGTGCTGCCGAGCTGCACTCACGAAGCAGGAGGAGGAGGAGGAGGAGGAGGGAGGAGAAGGAGAGAACTGCGGCCTGGAGGCGCCAGGCTTTGGCCAAATCTGTGGCGATGAGAGGTTATCCGTGATCTAGCTTCAAAGGAGGGAGGGAGGAGGGAGGGCAGGAGGGAGGAGGAGGGAGGAGGGAGGGAGGGAGGAGAAGCAGGAGGAGGGAGGAGGACGGTCTTGGGGTCTCTCGGAGCGCTCCTGGGCCGTCTTGAAGCCGCCTTGGACCTCTCTGGGGCCGCCGTGGGGGGTACCTTGGCAGTCCTGGGCGCCTCTTGAGCCGTCTCGGGGGCCTCTGGGGGGGTAGAGCGACTGGACCTACACCTTAGGCGATGCTTAAGAAAACTTAAGTTTTCGGCCAGAGTCTCGATTATTCTTAACGTTTCAATGTAAATCCCAAGATTTTAATAGAAATGTTGGGCTTTTAACTATTCAGATTCCGAGATTCTGAATTTCTTAACCCATGATTTCTTAAGCATTTCGCAGGGTGTATGCCCCCGCTCCTCTGGACCCCTCCCAAAAAGGCTTCACCCCAACTCAGCGTCATCACTCGTACCTGGCTCTTTCCGTCAAGCCCCTCACACTCCCCCTTCACGTGTCTCCCACTGGCGGATCGCAACGCTACGCGCACTTTCCGTCATCCGCCGCCCCCTGTTGATTCATCACAGGGGTACCTGGCATGCTGAAGTTCACGACGTTTTTGGTTCTTTATAAAACTCCCCCTGGGGCTTCCCCATGCCGCTGGCCACCCGGAAGGCTGCTCGATTTGCCCAGATGATTGCCGTTCTCGCTCCTGCATGGCCTAAGATAGACCCCAAGATGCCTCCAAGACGGCCAAGATGGCCAACGATGGCCTCCAAGACAGCCCAAAAGGGTCCAAGATGCGTCCAAGTCCGCCCACGAAGCCGCCGAGACAGCCTGAGATGGGCCCAAGATGGCCCAAGACGGCCCAAGAGGCCACCAAGAGACCTCCAAGACGGCACAAGGGGCCCTCAGGAGGGCCTCCAGGAACGAAGAGGCCAAAATCACTGATTTCCGCAGGTTTTTGGAAAAGTGTTAGCATGTGTTTCCTTTCGGCCCTTCGACGGTCCGACACGGCCCAAGAGCCCCCAGAGATCGCCCCACGTTCGCTCAAGAGGCCTCCAAGATGGCCCCAGAACGACCCAAGAGGCCCCCAAAGGGGGGCCCCAAGACGGCCCAAAGGCCTTCAAGACGTCCAAGATAGCCTCCACGACGGCCGTGGAGCAACCCAAGAGGGCAACAAGTCGCTTCAGAGAGGCCCAAAAGACGGCTTTCCACGGCGTCAGGCGGGCCAGGTACGGCCTAAGACGGGCAAAGAGGCCACCGAGAAACCCCCAAAGGCACCCAAGAGGCCCAAGGAGGCGCACAACATGCCTCTAGGAGGCCCCAGGAGTGCCCCCAGAGGCTCCCAAAATGCTCCCCTCCTCCTCCTCCTCCTCCTCCTCCTCCTCCTCCTCCTCCTCCTCCTCCTCCTCCTCCTCCTCCTCCTCCTCCTCCTCCTCCTCCTCCTCCTCATCATCATCATCATCATCATCATCATCAATCCTCCTCCTCCTCGTGATCTTCTCCGCCATCCACCCCTAAATGTTCCCCGCAGGGTTTCCATAACGGCTGGGGGAACACGGTCCGATAGCCTGGCGAGCTGTGGCCACAACGTTCGGCCACATGGGCGATTCCAAAAATCAGGGGGCGGCCGTCATTCGCCATCGGCGTCTTCGTTATCCAGACGAACGATATTGATACGATGGGAGGCCACGGGAGACCACGGGAACCACGAGAGGCTACGGGAGACGATTGGGGACCAGGGCGCCCGACCGACTCCGGATCCAGCAATCCTCGTACTCGGCCACTTCGAAGAATCGCACGGAATCCCTGCAGACAGGCTGTTGAGGGAGCTGCCGCAGGTCCACGCGGCCTGCTTGGGCCAAGGCTGGGCCCTCCTCCCAGTGGCGCCCGCGGAGTGCGTTAGCGGGGGGGGGCCTCGCCGACCCAAAAAACCTGCGCAGACCTCCGAGAGCTTTCGCTTGTGCCGTTTGAATTAGGAGAAGGATTCATCCATCACCACCGCCTGGGGAAACGAGAGTTCGGGTCGTCGACACGCCGTGGACATGGGTACAGTTGGCGCCCCAGGACCCGAATATGTCTATATCCACCGCCTGTCTGAGTCCCCGAAGATCGATCCCTCAGGAGGTGGTTAAACCCTTGCCGCGGTAGGATGAGGAGGGAGGAGGAGATGGGAGGAGGAGGAGGAGGAAGAGGCTTCAATTCTGAACTCACACTCTTCTGCCCTCCCGGTGGAACCCCTCGGCCGCACCTCTTAGATCTCTGGATACCTCTGCGGGTGTCATTCGCCTGTTTCTGGATCTGGCTTCCTTTCGGAGATCCTCCTCTTAATCCTCCTTCCTCCTCCTCCTTCTCCTCCTCCGCCTCCTCCTCATGATCCTCCTCGTCCTTTACCCTGGTTCCCCTTACTCCCCCTCCTTATCCTCCCTCACTCCCTCCCCCTCCCTACCCAGCACGAAAATCATCAACAGCACTGTCATGTGATTAATCAGCCGCCGCGCAGCATCATCATCCTACTCGTTCACCTCCACCTCCTCCTCATCATCCTCCTCATCCTCCTCCATGCCTCCTCCTCCTCCGCCTCCTCCTCGTCCTCCTCGTCATCATCATCATCCTCCTCCTCATCATCATCATCATCAGCACCAGCATCATCATCAGAAGCATCATCATCAGCATCATCATCATCATCATCAACATAATTATCACCGTCATCATCCCTCATTCTCCTCGTCCACCTCATCCTATTCCTCCTCCTCCTCCTCCTCCTCCTCCTCCACCTCATCCTCCTCCTCTCAATACTTTTCCTTCAATGCCTCATCCCCTGTCTCATCCCCTTCTCCGCCCCCCTCCATGCTCCACCAACCATCATATCTCCTCTCCTTAATCCTTGTCTTCCTGACTTCTCACAATGTATCCTACTATACCTCATCATCATCCTCCTTCTCCTCCTCATCCCCCTCCTCGTCCCCCTCCTCATCCTCTTCATCCTCGTCCATCCTTCTCCTCTTTCGTCCTCTCCCCCATCTCCTCCCTCTGCCCATCGCCGGAAACGAGCGGTGGGGAACGCGGGGGCTGCCGCAAAGTTGTCCCCAGCTTGCGGGAGTGCCCGTGGCACCACGTCGCTGGCTGGTAGCTGAGTCTGCCCTGGGCGTACGCGGCGGGGGCAGCGGAGGGGGCGGGAGGAAGAGAAGGACGAGGGAGGAGGGAGAGCGAAGAACGGAGTGAGGAGAGATCATGAACGGGGGAGGAGGGAAGAGAGGGAGGCTGCAGGATCAGTCAGCATCGACTCAGGAAGTCGATCGCACCGGGACAGGCGTCGGATCGGGCTGCATCGTCCCAGAGTCGAAATCGAATCGGATCGGCTACGCCGACGCAGACAACAACGTCATGCAAGCGTCGGGCAACAGAGGATCGTCGGAATATCGGAGCATCGGACTCGAATCGCCTCGAGCCAGCCAGGATAGACACCGAATCGGAACAGTCGGATCGAAGTTGAACCCTGCAGGGACGGGAGAGGAGAGAGGAAAAAGGATGGTTGACGGCCCGCCACGTTCAACGGAAGAGGTCTTGTCGCACCAATCTGCATGCCCTCCTCCGCTGGGCCCTGGGCTTCGTCGCAGGGCCCCGGCGGCGAACCCGCGGCCGGATGCAGAGCCGCCCGCCCGCTTTTTCGATAGTCCAACCGCTCGGCCCGCCCGTTGGGTCCCCGCTCGCCCGACCGACCCGCTCGCCCGCTGCAGCGCCCCGCCCGGGCGACCCGCCCGTCGGGGTCACCGCCCGCCCGACCCGCACGTCGCGGCCCTGCCCGCCCCGCCCGGCCGACCAAGGGCCTCCCCCGCGTGGAGGCTTGAAAAACCGCCCGACCGCTCCGAGGCTCTACCCGTCCACTGCTCGCCCGACAGGGCCCCGCCCGACTGCCCAGTCCGCCACGCGTAGTGTCCCGCGCGCGTCGCCGACGGCAGCATCGTGGCCGTCGTCGGTCGCCGTCGCCGTCGACATCGCCGTCGCCGTCGCTGTCGGCGTCGTCGTCGTCGGTCGTGGGTTGTAAGTTGTAGGTCGTCGGTCGTCGGTCGTCGGTCGTCCGTCGGTCGTCGGTAGTCGGCCGTCGGTCGTCGGTCGCCGTCGTCGTCGGTTCTCGTCGTCGTGGTCGTCGTCGTGGTCGTCGTCGTCCTGGTCGTCGTCGTGGTCGTCGTCGTCGTGGGCGTCGTCGTCGGTCGTCGGTCGTCGGTCGTCCGCCAGTCATCGGTAGTCGCCCGTCGGTCGTCGGCCGCCGTCGTCGTCGCAGTCGTCGTCGCCGTCGTCGTCGTCGTCGGTCGCCGTCGGTCGCCGTCGGTCGTCGCCGTCATCGTCGTCGTCGTCGCCGTCGTCGCCGTCGTCGTCGTCGGTCGTCGGTTGTAGGTCGTCGGTCGTCGGTCGTCGGTCGTCGGTCGTCCGTCGGTCGTCGGTAATCGGCCGTCGGTCATTGGTCGCCGTCGTCGTCGCCGTCCTCGTCCTCGTCGGTCGTCGGTCGTCGTTCATCGTTGTCGTCGTCGCCGCCGTCGTCGTCGTCGTCGATGCCGCCGTGTGTGTCGTCATCGACATCGGCCTCGTCGCCGTCGCCTTCGTCCTTCGTCGTTTCCGACAGCTCCGTGGTCGTCATCAGCGTCGTCCTCGTCAGGAGCGTCGTCGTCAGCGTCGTCGTCGTCAGCATCAGCGTCGTCGCCGTTATCTGTTGCCGTCGTTTGTCGGCGCATGGGAGGATGGGTTCGACACCCAACCTCGACTGACGGGGAGAGGGCGACTCTCGCTGTGAGGGGGTTTGGTTCTGATTTCAGAGATAGGGGGAGGGAGGGGATTTTCGAGGAGAGAAGCCCGGTTGCTACGAAAGAAGGGGAGGGCGGGGCGGGGGGGCATGTTGCGATGCACACTGCCCATGATTAATTCGTCTACATATTCCAATGCTCGACACCCGCTATCTTGCTACGTATTTGCTTTTGCCCAGGGAATGGAGCGCGGACCCTCACATAAGTGGGCTGGCGCGCGGACCCTATCCCAGGCGGGAAAACTGGCGAGCCGCAGCGCAAGGGTATGGGCGGGCGGGCCGTTCCAAATAGACGCTGTCTGCATTGAGAAGTTCTCCCTCCAGAGGCTCCTAAAGAGGCCCCAAGAGGGGGAATCAGAATTCAAATGTCGCAGCCTTCCCTGGAAGATTGCCTCCGAGACTGGCATATAGCCACAAGAGGCCCCCAGAGGCCCCCAAGACCCCTCCAGGAGGCCCCAAGAGACTCCCAAAATGCTCCCAACAGGCCCCACGAGGCTCCGAAAGAAAAGGAAAAAAAACGCGAGCACGCAAGGAAGTATGGGTCTGCAGAATGAGCAAACCGATCCGCCGCCCCACAGATGGCCCTCGAGCATCCCAAGAGGGCCCCAAGACGGCCCAGAGAGGCCCCCAAGACGGCTTCCGACGGCGTCAGACGGGCCAGGAGGCCATCAAGACGGCCCAAGATGGCTCCAAGATGGCCCAAGACGGCACAAAAGGCCCCCCCCCAGAGGTCACCAAAACGGCCCAAGAGGCCTCCAAGAGGGCCTCCAGGTCTTTGAAGGATTTTGGCATTTGCTTCTCTTCGGCCTTCCGACGGCCCGAGACGGCCCAATAGCTGAAAAAGATCGCCGAAAGATCGCCCACGAGGCCTCCAAAATGGCCCCAGAACTGCCCAAGCAGCCCCCAAGACGGCCCCAAGATCCTCCTTCCTCCTCCTTCCTCCTTCCTCCTTCCTCCTTCCTCCTTCCTCCTCCTTCCTCCTCCTTCCTCCTCCTCTTCCTACTCCTGTCTCCTCTTCCCCCTCCGTTCCCGACAACGACGATGACGACGACGACGACGAAGGCGGCGGCGGCGGCGGCCGGCGACGCCTGCGGGGGCCCTGCTGCCGCGCCGGTGAGCTCCGCGAGATGCCGAGGCGTTGAGCTCCTCCGTGGGGACCGCAGTGAGCTCCAAGCCGCGGCGGCGGCTGCGCTTGCCAGCCCTGGACCCCCACCGTGATGTTTCGGGCGGGAGCGGCTGGAGAGGAGGGATTGCGCCCCTCTCATACGTCCTTCCTTCCTCCGTCCCTTCCTCCTTCCCTCCTCCCTCCCTCCTTCCCTCCCTCTTCGTTCCTCTACCCTTCATCTTCCTCCTCCTCCTCCTCCTCCTCCTCCCCTTTTCTCCTCCGCCTCCTCCTCCGCCTCCTCCTCCTCCTCCTCCTCCTCCTCCTCCTCCTCCTCCTCCTCCTCCCCCTCCCTCCCGCACTTTCTTCACAAACAATGGCTTATCATACGTAAACCCTGATGCCAGATCTCTCGCGGATTGAAGGAGCACTCCCATATTCGACTGGAGTCGATTGTGCAGCAGCAGCGAGCTCTTGCAATGCAGCTTTAAACTCTGACACCGTGTTTGGAGCCTCAGCCATAGCTGGCGGCAGCCTGCCGCAAATCCAAATCGACTGGAGCAACAAGTGATGGGCACGAGTTTGGAAAGGTACACTCGCTCACCCCTGTGCTCCTCTGGTTGTTTCCATCAACTGCAAGCGATGCCCTCATGCCTGGTCTGCGGAAGCCAGCGAATCCAGCGTGAACAATTCTTTGGCATGACCTGGGCCGTCCACCAAAATGGAACGGCGAATCAGGCCGAGCATCGCCATGTCAGGCCTTGTAGACAAGGATTCAAATTTGAACGCCAGGAGCGCACCTACCCCTGCTCGCCTCGGCCGCTTCGGTCAGCTCGTCCTGGACACGGTCCCAAGACTCCAAAGCCGATCGGCAAGCACGGTAGATTTCCTTTGCGCGAGACTCGATGTAATACAGATGTGTCGTCGACGCGGGTGTATGATTTGGAAGGAGCCTGCGTTGTGTTTGCGGGTCCTTGCATCGAATGAAACGTGCTTCGCCCTGTCCCTCTCATGGCATTCCGTTGGCACGAGTCCACGTCAGCAAAGATTGCGTTTTGGCGTGCAGCCGCACCGATCACCCAGAACGCGTTGTGATCACAAGCCCCGTCAATGTGTGTGAGCATGCCTACGCCACCTGCGCAGAACACATTCCGCAACATCGGTCCCCAGACCGCACCCCGGGAATTCCATGCTGTCAATCAACCTCCAAGTTCGGCGGCAGGCGGCGCTCGACAAGGACGGGAGGAGGCGGGCCTCGTGGCGGGACAGAGTCTCCATTGTTGGAGGCTTGGAAATGGACACCGACACCAAAACAGGGGGTTGCTTTCACCAGGGGAGGATGATCCTAGATTTTGGTGTTGGTGGTGATTCTTCGGCCACCTAGGAAGCCCAGACATTACCACCACCACTGACATTGGGATCAGCTTCCCTCGGTGGAGGCACACTGCCGATCTTGGTGTTATTGCCAACCTCTGGGCCTCCGACTTCTCCCCACACCCTTCAGCCCGCCGCTCCCGAAGCTCTCATAGCCTCCCTGGGAAAAGCGTCCCTGGGAAAGGGAGGCCACAACCGTGACCTCAGCACATCGCCCATGGCATCGTCCCACCACGTCCTCGTCCTCCTCCTCCTGCTCCTCCTCCTCTTCCGTATCATGCCCCTCCTGCTCCTCCTCCTGTCCCTCCTCCTCCTCCTCCTCCTCTTCCTCCTCCTCCTCCTGCTGCCTCCTCCTCCTCCTCTTACCCTTACTACCCTTAAAACCAGTATTAGTATTATAACCAGTAAGGATCATTATTTCTATCATTATTATGACCAGTATTCTGAGTACTGCTCGTAATACTGATAGAATGATTCCCAGTATGATGAACACTGTTATTCTTAGCAGTATTGTTATTATTATTCCTCCTCCCCCTCGTCCTTTTCCAACTCCACCTCCAACTCCAATCGTCCCCCTCCTCCTCAGAGCTCCAGATGCCCCGACCGCGCCCCTCCCGCAGTCAGCGCTGCAGGCGCTCCAGTCGCCCCAGCTGGTCCACATGCAGCGCATCTCCTCGCCACAGTCCCGCGGGCACTCGCCTGTCTCCTCGGTGGCAGGGCGGCGGGGCGCAGGAGAAAAGGGGGGCGAGGGCGCACGAAGCGGCAGCAGCGATGAGGATGACGACGACTTCGTCGACGTCGTCGTCATCATCGTTGACGTCATCATCATCATCATCATCATCATCATCATCATCATCATCATCATCCTCATCATCATAATCATCAGCATCAGCATCATCATCATCACCACCAACCTCATCATCATCATCATCATCAACATCATCATCAGCATCATGATCATCATGACCATCAGCATAATCATCAGCAGCATCATCATCGTCATCACCACCACCATCATCATCACGATCATCATGATCATCAGCATCATCATCATCATCAGCAGCATCAGCATCGTCATCGGCATCGTCATCGTCATCATCATCAACATCATCAGCATCATTATCATTATCAGCATCATCATGGTACTCGTCATCGTCATCGTCATCACCATCACCAACATCATCAGTATCATCAGCATCATCATCAGCATCGTCAGCATCACCATCCTCATCATCATAATCAGCATCACAGTCATCATCATCGTCATCAGTATTAACATCACCAGCATCTGTAGCATGATCATCATCATCATCAGCATCGTCGTCGTCGTCAGCGGCATCAGCATCATCATCAGCGTCATCATCAGCACCATCAACATCAGCATCAGCATCAGCAGCATCATTGTCAACATCATCCGCACCATCATCATCACCATTACCATCATCGTCATCACCATCGTCACCATCGTCATCACCGTCATCATAAGATCTACCATCATCATCAACAACAGTACCATCATCATCAGCATCATTATCATTATCAGCATCATCATGGTACTCGTCATCGTCATCGTCATCACCATCACCAACATCATCAGTATCATCAGCATCATCATCAGCATCGTCAGCATCACCATCCTCATCATCATAATCAGCATCACAGTCATCATCATCGTCATCAGTATTAACATCACCAGCATCTGTAGCATGATCATCATCATCATCAGCATCGTCGTCGTCGTCAGCGGCATCAGCATCATCATCAGCGTCATCATCAGCACCATCAACATCAGCATCAGCATCAGCAGCATCATTGTCAACATCATCCGCACCATCATCATCACCATTACCATCATCGTCATCACCATCGTCACCATCGTCATCACCGTCATCATAAGATCTACCATCATCATCAACAACAGTACCATCATCATCAGCATCATCATCATCATCAGCAGCAGCAGCATCGTCATCGTAATCAGTTTCGAAATCAACATCAGCCCCGTCATCAACTCCCATTATCATCAGCAGCATAAACCTCATCGCCGTCATCATCATTATCACCATCATCATCCTCAACATCATCATCAACAACATCAGCATCGTCCTCATCCTCAGCATCATCATCAACCCCATCATCATCTTCATCATCACCATCACCAGCATTATCATCCCCATCATCACCATCAGCGTCACAATCACCATGCCAATCGTCATCCTCATCATCCTCATCATCAGCAGCAGCATCATCATAGTCATCATCATCAGCATCAACATTATCCGCCGACCCCTTGTGGGTCTCTAGGCGTGTGAGGTAGTTCCCCCCCCTAACCCCCCCATGGGACCCCAAACCGACGATTCGACCCCCCCTGGGCCCGGCCAGAGCGAACCACGGGCTCTTTTGGACCCAAAAGGGGCTCAAGACGGGCCAAGAAGGCCCCAAGACGTCTCCAAGACGGCCCACGAGGGCCCCGAGACGCCAAACGAGCGCTCCAAGACGCCCAAGATGGCCCCAAGACGAGCCAAGAGGCGTCCAAGACGGCCCAATAGGCCTCCAAGAAAGTCCTCAGAAGGGCCGAAGAGCCGAAAATCATCAAATTCCGATGGGAAAAAGTACAGTTTCATCATATACGACTTGTCGGCCTTTACGGCGTTGAAGACGGTCCAAGAGCACCCCAAGACCGCCCCAAGACGGCCCAAGAGGCCTCCAAGAGGCGCCCAAGTCGGCACAAGAGGGCGCCAAGACGGACGGCCCAAGAGGGCCCCAAGACGGCCCCAAGAGGGGCCCAAGAGGGGGAGCTTCAACCGACAATCCGAGCCTTCCGCCCCAAGACGACCCAAACTAGCGCTCCAAGGCGCCCAAGATGGCCCCAAGACGAGCCAAGAGGCGTCCAAGACGGCCCAAGAGGCCTCCAAGAACAGTCCTCAGAAGGGCCGAAGAGCCGAAAATCATCAAATTCCGATGGGAAAACGCACAGTTTCATCATATACGACTTGTCGGCCTTTACGGCGTTGAAGACGGTCCAAGAGCACCCCAAGACCGCCCCAAGACGGCCCAAGAGGCCCTCAGAGGCGCCCAAGTCGGCCCAAGAGGGCGCCAAGACGGCCCACGAGGGCCCCAAGACGGCCCAAGAGGGCTCCACGACGGCCCCAAGAGGGGCCCAAGAGGGGGAGCTTCAACCGACAATCCGAGCCGTCCGCCCCAAGACGGCCCAAACGAGCGCTCCAAGACGCCCAAGATGGCCCCAAGACGAGCCAAGAGGCCTCCAAGACGGCCCAAGAGGCCTCCAAGAACAGCCCACTACTACTACTACTACTACTACTACTACTACTACTACTACTTACTACTACTACTACTACTACTCTACTACTACTACTACTACTACTACTAACCACTACTACTACTACTACTACTACTACTACTACTACTACTACTACTACTACTACTACTACTACTACTAACTACTAACTACTACTACTACTACTACTACTACTACTACTACTACTACTACTACTACTACTACTACTACTACTACTACTACTACTACTACTACTACTACTACTACTACTACTACTACTACTACTACTACTACTACTACTACTACTACTACTACTACTACTACTACTACTACTACTACTACTACTACTACTACTACTACTACTACTACTACTACTACTACTACTACTACTACTACTACTACTACTACTACTACTACTACTACGACTACTACTACTACTACTACTATTACTACTACTACTACTATTACTACTACTACTACTACTACTACTACTACTACTACTACTACTACCACTATTGCTGATACGACGGCTTCGATCGTTTTTTCGACAGAAAAGCTGTGAGGCACCTTCCAAATTGAACAAACTCAACTCACTTTCAAAAATAATTCCGCGAGAAGTCGACTGCCACCAAGCCCTGCTCCTCCTCCTCCTCCTCCTTCTCCTCTTCCTCCTCCTCACGACCACACGCTGCACGCAACATTGCAGGAGAATGGTGCCGACACTGCATGCGACCCCAGAGAAACCACAACGCTTTTCGAACAAAGGGGTCGGCGGATGTGGCGTACGCCTATAGAATCATGATCAGCATCAGCGTCACCATCACAATCAGCAGCATCATCAGCATCATAAACATCATCACCATCAGCATCAGCATCCTCCTCCTCCTCGTCGCCGTCGTCGTCGTCCGTACCCATTTTGGCTCTCAAGTTTCGGCCCGAGAGCCTGGGGGCAGGCAGGCTGCCGCAGGCTCCCCTCCGGCTGGGATCATCGCGCGCCCTGCGGAGGCGGCGTGGCACCGGCGCGGTGGCGGCATGCGAGGCCGTGGTGAAGAGCTGGGCCACGGGCGGGGGCACTGCTTGTGAGCCTCCCCGGCGGAGGCTGCTGGTGCAGGTGTGGGGGGGGGGGGCGACGTGCTGGGTCCCGCAGCTGCCCCTTCCCATTCTTGGGGTCGTCCTCCACCCGTGGGCGACGATGCCAGGCTGCGGGCCGGCGGCCCTCCACGAAGGGGGAGAGGCCGAGCAGGAGGGCGTGCAGGAGCAGGGCATGGCGCAGGCGGCGGGGCCACGAAGGCCAACTGCCGAGGGCGAGGAGTCGGACGGGGTGCGGGGCGGCGTGAGCGGCTGGCAGGCCGTCTCGGCCGGGCGCCGCCGCGTGCGGCAAGGGCGGCACGCCTGGCGAGGCCGATGGGGCTGACAGGGGTCTGAAGGGCAAGCAGGTGGTGGCCAGCTTCGCGAGCGATCTCGCTCAACATGATGCTGACCGACGCGGACGGCACCCAGGGCATCGAGCTCCAGTCGGGCGTTGGCAGGACTGGGTTTCGTGGGACCTGGTTCGGGGATGTGTCCTGGGGGACGCCCCCCCTGCCCCGTTCTACTGATCGGAATTGCCTTCGCCCGGAAAAAAAACACCAGCTACGGCAAACCTGGTTTAAAGACTCTGGCTAACTTAGGGGGCTCCGGGCCCTACTACTAACCGGGTCCCCTTACCTGGAGTCCTGGCTATACCCGATCCAGGAGGAGACGGCCCAGATGGAGATCGGGAAGGTGGCCCTGGTCAACGCGACGGCGAGCGTGGCCTAGAAGGGGGACCAGAAAGCGAAGGACGGGAGCAGCGTGAAGCCATGCGTGGGCGAGGACGTGCGCCTCGACAATGCCGCAGCCTTCGCACGCAGCGAGATGGCGCTGGCGTCCGCGGAGACGTGGGCAAGAAAGGCCAGGGTGACGGCGGCGGCAAGCGGGGCGCCACGGCCAGGCGCCGCAAGGGAGCGCTCGCCCGGCGCGAGTGCTGGACGGCAACAGTGGCCCTGGCGGACCGCAGGGCGGTGCAGTGGGCCAGGGAGCAGGCGGAGATGCTCGATCCGAGGGTCGGTGACCGAGCGCCGTTGATGGCGCCAAGATGGAGAATCCTCGACCCTCGACTTTCGGATCGAACATCCTCTATCTTCCCTGGTGCGGAGCGGATGAGGATGCCCTGGAAACCAAAACACCCCGAACGGACATCGATGTGTCTTCAGATTTAGGTCGGGCTGTCCCCCTATAGGGGGATTTTGGACGAAAACAAAAAATAGTTTAAAAGTACTCAAAAAAAAGAAATACTAAAAAGAATCGTGCCCTGACGATTTTTTTTTTGTTTGAATTTTCCCTCTGTAGAGGGACAGGCCCGACTTAACTTTAAAGCTCAGTCTGGA